GGAAACGCAAAATCCTAAAAACCCAAATTCTTGATTCTTTCCATCATATCTCATTCCACCAAACAAATCCTCCCACATTCGCCGTACCAACAAAATCAGGAAATTGCAACAAAAAAAGTTTAAAGAAGACGAACATGCAGAAATCAACAAAGAAACGAACATACCTCAGCTTCAAGTTTGGCAATATACGCGATGAGAGCAGCCTTATCTCTCTTCTTGATCGATTCCTCATCAAATCCAGCCTCCTTGAGCCGCTTCCAGATATCGTCGTCAGTGAGTAAAACCCTAGATCCAGGCGTTATGGACAAACCCTTGACACTGGTCGGCGTGATCGCGAGTCTCCCTGAATAAGGACTCGCCATCTCCAACCCCCTCTCTCTTCCTAGTACCTCTGGTCAGGAAAGGGAAAGAAAAAAAAAAGCCCTAGATTACTGTAAACTGGCTGGTGCTAATCTGGCTCTTCTCTTTTTCCTTGCTTCCTGCTTGCTTTTTCGTTCTTTCTTTTTCTCTCTCTAGAGTGAGATTGCCTGCTTACGTCAGTGAGTCACCACAGAATCGGAGTTGGCGCTTCTATGTTGAAATTGGGCTCGCTCGACTCTGCCAAACCACTGAGGTGGTCAAGTTGTGGACTGTGTAAGAGACGGAGGTTCGTCCGCCAGGTAATTCCATCGAAAGGCAAAAGGTGAAACGACGTCGCATAAAGGGCAGCGGCAATCTTTGGATTTTTATTTATTTACGCCGGTTTTTAGTCCGCAAAATTAGCTTTGGCGGCTGCACTTAAAGTGAAAATAAATTTGATTTCTTAGATTCTGAATAAATATTAACATACAAGAAAATTTTGTAAAAAGAATATACACTTAAAAAATTAAAATAATAATAATAGAAAATGAAGATAATTTAAAAATTAATTATGTTAATATTTTTCAATTATTTTGAAATTTTTATGTACTTTTAAAAAATAAAATCTCATTGTGTATTCTTTAAAAGAAATTTATTAAATTGAGTTGTTATATTTATTTAAGAATATAGAATAAATTAATGTTGAAGCTTACATATTTTAATTATAATTTTTAAAATTCAATTTTTTCTTGTACTTAACCCTTAAATTAACAAATTAAAAAAAAAAATCATTTTTCTATTTCCTAAAAGATAAAAAAAAAAAGGAAAGTAAATATCATTATTATCAATGAGTGATACGGACAAGTCTTATCACACAAGCTAAATAAGCAATCAGTCAATACTTTTGGTTGTCTAATTAAAAATGACTTTTTTTAAGCACTTATTCACCTATTTGGCTTATCACACAAGAAAGCAAAAGCACAAGAGATTCGCTGTATCATTTTAATAGTTGCATTCCATAAATTTTACGGCTTGAAAATATAAATCTATTGAAATCTTTTAAGTAATATTTCTAAAATTAATTAAGTTAATGATAATAACAATAATAATGTCATATTAGTAAATTCACCTATGTCTATGTATATGTACATAAAAATATGTGTATGTAACTTCTATCAATGAACCCTGCCAACCCAAAATGACTTGCAACAAAAGAAATTTGAGTATTATATGAAAAGGCATGTTTTCAAGTGCCAACTAGGAAAATGGAAAGAGTTCGAGTTTGTAATTTATCTATACACAATATTCACAGCTTGAAAGTTGCTTTCCGTCTCTCATGGTAGCTATCTATCCAGTCTTTTATGAACTCGATTTCAGTTTCTCTCTGATCGACCAACCAGTCAGGTTCGTCTGGGGTTGAAGCTCGCAGGTCCAAGTGATGAGCACCTGATTATAATGAACACAAATAAAACGCATTCAGCTTCAGCTTTAACAACCCTGTTTATATATAATTTAGCAGCCTAGACAATACTGACACCATTTTGTTCTTCAGTACTAACTGGTTTTAGCTGGACCAGCCAGTGGTAGGTCTCAGAACCTTCAATCGCCAGACTCTAATAAACGAACTTCAGTCAATGGTTCCACTCAATGAACTCAACAAGTAGGCTAAGATTCTTGAAACACTTCAACAATAATTCTGGGATCATATAAAGAAATAAATAGAAGAGAGATCGAAACTATTGAAGCTTTTGAGAGCCTTCAAGGTTATGTCTGATATAATGGGAAGAATACGATAAGAATAAGACCACTTTCCTATGATATAGGATGTTTAACAGACAAATTTTTATCACCTGCAGGACTAACAGGAGGTATCATAAGCTGTGAGCAAACATATAGCCACAAGCCTCTCCTGAAGAGTTGCTCAAAGACTTCTAGATGATAGTAATAAGCCTAAAAAATTCCTAACTAACTAGGATTGCTTGAGCCTATTAGACATTTGTTGTATAAGATTTGAGGGCTTGATGGATGAGTTAGGACTTGAGAGATCAAATAGACAGCTTTTAAAGACACATTCAAAATCCTATATTTACTACATACACGGTTTTAGAAGACTCGGACACTTAGCCCTAATGTAAGAAAGCATTGTACTACTCATTTCAACAGATAATTCTGATGGATGCCAATGAACCATAAGATGAATTTCAGAAAGCATTACCTTCTTTCGTGACAAGAGCAACAATAGTATCAGATATATCTTTCAGAACACTGCAAAAATAATCATTTATAAGAACCTGGAATAAAACTGGGGCAGCACTAGTTATGATATCAATCATACTCAGAGCTACCTGCCACCACTCCAGGGATCCAATAGGCCATTTGAGAATATGATGTTACTTCCAAACATCTTCAATGTGGTTTCAATGTCCTTCACATTTAAAAAAAAAGAACAACGTAAAAGAAAACAAAACTCTAGAATCAAGCAACTATATATTGTGAGTTTGAGCTTTAAAAGTATTGCAAAGAAAAGAAATAATGCAGTTCACATTGGTCCGGAAGAAGCTTTAAGAGAACATTATATAATGTGAACAGTATGCTATTCTCTGACAAACTATGTGCAACAGTATCTACCATTTTGAAAAACAGAATCAAGCTTGAGCCAAAAAAAAAGGTCTGGGTATATCCATAGATATACAACTTGACAGAGATAGGATTGCTGCTGACTTGGAAAAGGAAAAGAAAACAAAAAATCCAAGAACTGTCTAAATGCTAGGCCCGAGATTCAGGTTGTTCCGCTTCAGCATCAAAGCACAAATAGAAGAGAATCAGCCCGTAGGGGCAATCTATGAAAAACACAAGATAGTAATACATAACCACCACAAAAAATAAAAATTAAGGATTACAAGATGGCAGGTAACTCAAGCTCTCGCAGATACCAACCTCTGAAATGGGACAAGCATTTACGAACTATTTCTTAAAAGTTGGAAAACACTCAGCATTTGAGTTTGGACCAAAAATCTAAAACCACTTGGTTAATCATTTTCGTCTCCTTTTCTTAAGGTGCTATCACAATCATCACTTTTTAACTGTTATATGAAACAGAGATGAAAGATCTTTGACACATATATCCCACCTGCTTTTTCTTTCATCTAAATGCAGGGAGGTACAAGAATTCTCAAGGTATCCACCAAAGTTAAATTAATGTCCATGCTATCCAAGTTCACACCAATCTATTGAAATCAAATGGAAAAACAATTAAATTTTATCATGCATAAAACAAGTCACTCAGGGATACTCAATTCAGGGCAAACTTCTTGTCAAATTTCATGGAAATGGAAGAAAGGAACTGATAAATGTGATCCATTATCATCTTACATGTCCTCCAAATTCTGTTGTTATCCATCTAGGCCTTGGTATCACCTGGAAACTCTCCCAGCATCCCTCTTGATATGAAGAGTAGTTAAACTCAAATGCTGGAAACATGCTCGTCTCCTGGCTGCTAGACATTGGCATAACCATCTCACTGCATGCCTACAGAAAAAGATGGAGATCAATATGATGGTTTAAGGAACTGTGGCAACAGCATTTCAGTGCATCATCATTCTAATCAGGAAAAACATAAAAATGAGAGGACCAACATCATAGCTTCTCTATACCTGCCAGTTCCAACCATCCAGGCCATGAGGATCATCGTCCAATTGAAAGCAATCAACATTTCCAGTATAGTTATAGTAGACACTTACTCCTGCAAAGATGCGTTCCAGAATGCTAGTTCCATTAGGAGAACCATCAATCCTTCTGCAAACCTGCAAAAGGATAAAGTGATCATCTTTGCTATAAAAACTTCTAGCCAGATTAACTATTAGAATTCTTTATGATCAAAAGAAAATGTCTGAAAATGCATAAATGTCTGAAAATGCATTATCAATTAATAAAGTCCAAATTTCTAAGCATCTATCTATTTAGAGTCCAGAGAACAGAGAGGCATTTGAACTTTTGCATTGAGCAATCATTAACAATCACATAGTAAGAGTATTAGTGTGTGTATCAAACAAGAAATAACTGAAAATTTACGTTTGAAAATGCAGTTAGAAAGAAAAATATGAAATTTGGTTACTTATAACGATTACCTCTCTTATTGGATTTCCAGGCAGAGGCATCATAAAGTCAGCAGGGTATGGGTAGTCCACCATTGATAAATAACTATAAGCAGATTCTAACCAGTCTACAAGATCATCTGTGCTATTTAGCTGTCTGTCAATCAACTTTAATCAGCTCAAACCCAACTATCTAAAAGAACCAAAGAAGAAAATAAGAGGAAACAAGACCAATGCAGACTCAGTCGTGACATTATTTACATCACATTACTTTTATTTTCATTTCTTACTTGCAAAAGTGGAAAGTCTTGGTCAGCTGTTGAAGGCCATTCTCTTTGTGGCCCTCTGAAGTTATTGCATCCCAAGATTCCTTTATAGTCTTGAAGCAGCTGGTACTCTCGCGCTGCAGAAAATAGAATTAAACAATTTTATAGCTGAATAAAATCCAATAGCATAGCAAGAAAAATAAAATTAAGGGCTACAAGTGCAATATACCCTGAAATCATTTGATACAATGTTATAAAATGTTTCCGGAGGCACAATATTCTCAAACTGAAGAATGGGGGCAGAAGAAGCAAGTGCCCCTACAGCAATATGAGGATACTTGAGCCTCATCCATGCGGCTAACACTGTTCCATCAACACCAAAAATTAAGAACATCCACAACAAGAAACTCACTTAACCACATGCCACTAATCACTCCTTGATGCTGTACAAAAAAAAATACTTCACTAAGTAGTTTAGCTCACTTCAATTAGAAAAGGAAACAAACAAAGTCTTACTTCCTCCGTATGATCCTCCAAATAAGACAACTGGACATGCCTCTGCCGATAAATTTCGTTTCAGGTCGGTAATTAGAACCGCGAAATCTGCGAGTGCTTGCTCGGTTGTAAGGTAAGATAATGCGGTGGCATTCTTATATGCCTCTTCTCCACTTCCATATGGCATTGACTCTCCATAATACCGATGCTGCAAATAAAAGTTTAGGAGTAAATTTTCATATCAATTTTGCCAACATTCCGCTGGCAAGCCAAGTTTAACAATCAGGTTATAATGAACACTCAATCGTGTTGCTCAGAAAATAATAATAATAATAATAATCGTGATTACTTAATTTCTTTTAATATTACGCGGAAGAGAGTTTGCTGTCAAACAATCATGTAGTTAAGGTTTGATCTCATTGATGAAATCTGCAACCAAATGCATAACCACTAACCTCGGGGAAAACGACCATGGCGCCAAACTGGGGAGCGATTTCCCAAATGAAGCCAGAGTTGGCGGCGAACCAAACGATATCACCTTCATTACCGCAGTATACGAAGATGGGCCCAAGACGGGCGGGTCCCAACCAGTGCTCGGTACTGATGAGGTACCGCTGCGAGAAACTCGGGAGCTTGGCGAAGCTGAAATGGTCGAGTCTCTGCGTGAAATATCGGGTCTCGTAATGGTACGGTTGGTGAATCCATCTCTTCGGTTTGGTTTCGATTTGGTTCGAAAATTTGCCAAGGAAGCGCGGGACACTTCGGGGCAAGGGAAAATTGGTCGGTCGTGATTGAACTGAAGAAGTTGATGAAATAATGGTGGAGATAATCATGAAGAAGAATAAGAAGAAGAAGAAGATTGGAGAGTGATGAGTGAAGGAAAGTACGGGTTTTTCCATGCTTTTCATTTTTCAGTCCCCGAAAATCCGAAGGAATCAGAGCAAGAAAAGTGCGAAGTCTCATCGTGGTGGACTACGGAACTGATGTTGGTGGTGGAGTGGGTGACATTCAAGTGGTTGTGACAGCACAGTATATCTCTGGTCAGACAACTGACTACGGATGCTCAACACCTTTTCTACGTATCATGAAACTTTTAACGGCTACGATCACGTGTGAAGTTTGGAAACGCTGGTTTCGGAAACATTGGATCATAATGTGTTCTGAAGGCGACCGAGTTACGATGAGACTTGTTTGGTAACAAGAATTTGTCTGAACTGGGTCGAGAAATCTCGAGTAGCAGTCGGGACAGGTGGCCCTGCAAGCAGAAATGTTTAATTGGATAATGGGCCCTTCTTAAAGAAGTATGTAAACCACTAATTATGGGCTCCAAACCTAATCTATCATAGAATTTATAATTTGTTACTTACGTAGAATAAAACATATATTGGAAGTGAATTATCATTTGATATATGATCCCCATTATGCCAATATATACATATATACATACACACATATACATACATATGGTGGGAGGTGGGAGGTTTTGAATTGACTCCTAAGAAAATAAAATGTGGAAAGAACCCTAATAAGTCCCACTTGACTATTATTCTTTTCCTCCACATTTGCAGAAAGGAACCATTCATAATTCATTTGTTTTGAATCATCCACACAACTTTGTGATTAATCATTATGTTGTGCACCAACATATTCTAATTTTTCACATCTTGTAACATTAGGTTACGAATTCTAATAAAAATAAAACTCCTAAAGTTGACAATGTTTTGATATTTATATTTTAATTATATGGGTTTTATTTTTATACAACAAAATTTTTAAATGTAATTATCTCGGACGAGTTTATGCTTGATTATAAATTTAGATGAACTAATATAAAAATTACGTATCTATAAATTAACATATTTTGCCTCAACGGTTATTCATATCTTAATTTATAGTTAAGATTTAAATTTTAATTCTATATAGTGCAAGATTCGTATATATTATGCTAATAATAAAAAAAAAAAAAAAGATTAGGGGAAAATGAAAATTCTGTATTCCCAGTAATGGAATGTGCCCGGCCGCTAATCATCAGTGTAAGCATCTCTTTTCCAATTTGTACTGCAATTTCATATATATAAAAAAGAAAAAAGGCAGATCATCTAGCTAATATTATTTTAATTATTCCTCCAATATTCTTGTCAACTTCTGCCTATAGATTATTCCCACAACGTCGGCTATACATACACACACACACACACACACACATATATATATATATAGAGAGAGAGAGAGAGAGAGTTACATATTCATCAATATATATAAATTTGGAGATTAATATGTAGATGCCATGTTGTATCATCTCTAATATTCAAATAAAATAAATTAATTATTCTCGTTAACATTTAACTTTAAAATGAAACTATAGTTTACATTATATTATAATATGCTAATTTTACCAACCATTTATTAGTTTGATACGCTTTGTGTTATTTTTGTTATTATTAATGTGCAAATATAACATAATGTATATATTTTTTTTTTTTATTAAACAAACACAAATATGTGATACGACCGACGTTGGTATATTTTGAGTGTTTGCATGAACAGTTACGTGTTATCTTCTCAGTGCTCGGTCATGCATATAATCAAGTGTATGCAACTGTCCAACTCCAGCACAAAAATGACTTTATACAGAAAAAGAATTTATCCCATTAAATAAATAAATAAATTTATCGATACACAAATGTGAAAATACACAAAAAGTTAGGCTAACATTGATGTGATCCAAATAATTCATCATTAATATATATATATATATGTATATTATTGTGCTATATTACACGGAAAAAAAAATTATATGTTAACTACTATATAAAATACAGATAATTATATATATATATATATGTGTGTGAAAAGGTGTGATTTGGATAAATAGTAGGGTTAAATATTAAATTAAGATGATAAAAAAATATTATTAATATGCATAAAATAAAATAAGAGGGTTTAGTATATATATTTATTACTTTTTGAGGAGGGAAAAATTAAGAAAATAAATGAACTCAAAAAGAAAATAGTACGACCCAGGGGAGGCCTACGTAGGTAGTAGTGCATGGTCCAAATTCACGTGGGCAAACGTTGTCGTTTTAAAGGAGTTGCGTGCCGCCCGCTGCTTTTTTCAAGGGCATACATGGAAAAAGACTAGAGACAAAATCCTCAGAGTGGGGCGACATGCTCTAAGAACAAATTTAAAAAGAAAAAAAAAAAAGAACTCGGAGAATAACCTACTCGTGTCTTCTCAATATATTATTCAACTTTTTCTCTGGATAATGCATATATTTATTAATTATGTAATATATATATATATAGAGATATATAGTTATTGAATTAAAATGTAAAATATATAGTGAATGAAAAGTAATATTAATAATTTAAAGTAAGAGTAGGCTACTGAGTTTTATGTTAATGGAAGGAGGCCATTGGTAATGTTTGCTTTAATCCTGTCATCCACCAACTCAATTTTCAAATTCTCAGTTGCAAATATGCCCACCCACTTCCATAAGTGCCAAATTATGCTGATCAACTTGGTTTATCTGTTTATACTTACATATGCATATATATATATATATATATGAATATTTATCTTTTTTTTTTGTAAATTTAAAAAACTCATGACTTAAAATTAAAGAATGTTTTTTAAAAAAATATTTTTCTAATATTTAAAGAATATCATCTTAAAATACTGATTTAATACGATCAATGATTTAACAGAACATATTTTAAAATATATATTTTTAACATTATGTGTGATTAGTCATGTATTTATTTTATATCATAACATAAATTATATTAATTTTTGATAACCTAATTCACTCGTTCTCTTGGATTATCATCAGCTTCGGGTCAATTATTTAAGTTAATCAATTTATTTCTTTAAATACAATTTTATATGTTTTATTAAATAAATACTGTATACATATCATATAATAAATATAATCTAATTAATTTATATAAGTTACAAGATTAATAACTCAAACCTACAGTCCCCTAAAACTAAATATCTATTAGGGCCGCATCAAACCAATGGAAGAAGATATAACAAGAATCATAGGCTTGAGAGATTAGAGATATCTGGGAATGATTTTTTTTCTTACCAAAAAGTCAACATAAATCTCTCTATCGAAATATATGTACATATACGTGTGTGTGTGTGTGTGTATGTATATATATATATATATATATGTAATGATTTTAATAATTTTCGGGTTCTGAATTGACTAAACTGCCTTCCTTGATACATACATATAATGGAATGTAGTTGACTAGTTGTCTAAAAAAGCACGAAAAAAGAAAGTTATATACGCAAATTATATCATCATCATCATCCCACTTACTGCATTCCCTCCACTTGAGCTCATTGGTGACACAGTTATGATACAAAATGACTTTGATCCTCTGAATAAATTCAACTTATTCATATATGGTTGATGTATTTTCTTTTCTTTCAATGATATTTAGGGCATATGAAGAGGGATGGCCACACCATCTCATACCCACGTGGGCTGAGAAATGCTGCATGTATACACACACGCACCAATGTGTATGTATACACACACACACACACACACATATATATATATATATATAGTCAAAGTAAGTTTCACCACCTTTGTTGCTCCTTTTACGATTCCAATATGAATCTAAACTCTGATTAATTAAATTATAAAAAAGTTTTTGCGTTAATCTTGATAACCATTAAAGAGATTGTAGAGGAAATTCTAATATTTTTAAAAGTAAACAATAATATATATATATAAATAAATATATTACAAACTATAATATTTTGTAAAAAAAAAGAGACATCAATCATTCAAGTCAACATGATTAATAAAAATAAATCAATTAATGGTAGATTTGGTATTTTATATA